GGTATTTAAGTTTTTGCTCATACATCTTGATATAAATTATACAAAACATGGGCTGGCCCAGTGGCGCACTCGTTTGAGTGCGGCGCTTGGGAGCGTGGCGGCGCTCCCGCCGAGGGTTCGGATCCCATATAGAGACCGGTCCGCTCACTGGCTGAGCGCGGTGCAGGCGCAACACCGAGGGTTGCGATCCTGTTACTGGTCATGAAAAAAGACAAAAAGGGAAAAAAAAAAAAAAATTATACAAAATAAAATGGAGTTGCTTTGCAATTTTAATTTGTAGATATATAGATTAAAGTTTAGCACTAACTATACCTTAGGCTTATGAAAATAGGAGACTTGTTTAAAATGTTAAATGTAAGCTGGAGTGAGGTCTTAATTACCATATAATAAGTTATTGATAATTGAAATGGATATATCATCTTTTTTTCCCCCTGTGATCGTTTATAGAAATGTTTCAAAGTGAATTTCTGCAAGGTTTTTTTTTTTTTCCCCCTCTGTTCCTCTCCAAACAATGAGTTGTTCTTCCTTAATTGAAAGTCCATTGGCAACTGCAACTTTTGCTAAGTTGATTCTGCAGGAGCGTGTATTGCTCCAACTTGTTCTTTTTAGGGGCTAACATCCAAAATACATTTCTACCCCAAGATTGCAATCAGATTATATAGCCTACTTGTTAATTCCTGCTGATTATGTTTGCTTCTGATTATTTGCAGTGAAGTAAAACTTTATGATCTGTGGCATGCTGAGAGCAAAGATTTTTCTAAATGTAAAATAAAGTTGCATTGAGTAACTAGAAATTGTCCATAACTGTAATGGCCATCAACATATATTTCCCCCTACTTCAGAAACCAAAAGCTTTTAGAAAGGTATATACTAGTGTACCTTCCTTGCTTGTTATCCTTTTAAATTTGTAATAAAATCCATTTAGGCATAAGATAAGGCAATATTGTTTATATAGGTAGTGGGAGCAGAGTTCTGTATTCTGTTATTAAAATAGTATCTATCAGATGAACTGTTAAGGAATTGCTCCTTCCTAAAAATGTGTGTTTATCTACTAGCCAGTTCTATGATGTACTTTTGGGCACTAAGCATGCATTACATCGTGTAGTTAGATTGATTTGGCATAATTTCTTTTTGAAAGAATATGTGCCAATTCTTTTTCCTCTCCAAATGAAATGGTTTCAGAGCATGGGCTCTATGCCTAATGTCAATTCCATAAGCCTCCTCTGTTGTGTTTTTTTTTCCTTGCCACCCCGCCTCCTCACCCTGTAACTGGACTTTGCCATGAATGAGGAAGATGTGTACCTATAATCAGGTATTTCTTTACTTTAGGGTTATTAGTCATTTCAGAAAGCATGGACTTTTGAGAACAGGCTTGAATTGTGGGGAGGAAAAGTTATATAAATGTATTCATAGTTAAATATTTGCTTCCAGGGAAGGTGAAAAATGCTTTGTTCTTTTTCCTTTGGCTTTTTTCCCCCAAAAGAACTTGTCATGCAACACCACCAGCAAAAAAAATGTTGCCAAAGGCAGAGAAAACTCTTCTCTTTTCCATGTTGGTTTGTTTTTATTGTAAGACAAACCTTTCATGTTTTATTGTTACGAAGTTTAAACCTGGCCTAGAGGTGCCAGTCTTTAGTGGAAACAGCTGCAGTTTTGGTGTCCCCTGATCAGGTGGGACTTTCTTTGAAGCAACATGTTGCCTTTTAAAAGAGAGCTGAGCATGTGAGAACTTGAATCTGTAAAACTCATCAGCAGTTCCACCATTGTTTATCTCTTAAGTAACTGAGATAGCTAACTTTAAGTAAAACATTGCAATTAAGTCATTTTCTAAATAATTTTTTTTGGAGAGAATTGTTACTTTGTGTCTTAAAAATATAGAAACGGAGAAAAATCACAATTAAGAACTGAAGATACAGCAGTTCACTTTAACGAACATCACAGAGCATGTTCCTTGATAACTCCTCCTTTTGGTTAGTCTGATCGTGATTTTGATTTCATAGTTATACATGCAGATGAATGCCTCTAACAGGAGCAAAACTGAGTGGTTGGGCATATGTCTAAATTCTAGAGATTAAAGATTTTCTATTAACTGATGTTGAAACATTTTTCATCTTTTTGATTGAATGATACTGGTAGCAGTGTACTTTAGCATCATTCTTGGTCTGCTACTAGGAAAAGTTGAGCATCAGAGAGCTTTCTTTCCTTGGGGGAAAATAGAAGAGACAGGAATGGAGTCAGAGGGACAAGAAAAATGCTGAAATAGTTTCCTTTTGGGCTTTTGATTTCTTTGCCAAAAAATTGCCTCCAGATGGAGAAGAGCAAAAGCTCTGATTGTAAGCCATTATGTTTTTACTGGCCTACCTCCTCATCCCGTTGCCTGGTTTGGAATCTGTAAGCCAGTCCAAGTCCTTTACCTCATTTTCTAGTACCAATTTACTGTCTTACTCATCTTCCAGCTGCAAGGGGTGAGGCCATTCGCCTTGAAATTGAACCTGTGCAGTTTTATAAACCAAGCAACAGCAGATTCTTGCCAAGAAGTGTCAATATCGATGGCTCCTATTTCTCTGAAGTTCTTGAATCATGCCTACTGGTAGACTTGTGTCTGTGACATGTGTGGCAGGATTAGTCTGAGAATGAATCTGAACAAGCTCCTTTGACTTTGTGTAGACTTGTTACTACCATCGTTGTCTAGTATTCTGCGCTGTTGCATGGGAAGCACAGTTCGTTTTTTTGACTATACCTTACTTCACTGGCAGTAGAAATCTTGACACTGTAATTTTCCTTGGGAGGTAGTGATTGTTTAGGGGTTGAAATTGTAGGGGAAACCGATGTCTGGACATAGTGGGTACAGTGGCATTGGAGCCTGGCAGACTTGAGACCAGTTTACTGTTTTCCAACTAACTAAAGAGTATCCTTGGGTACGTTATTTTCTGCATGTGGAAAATGCAACATAATATCGTAGTAGGTTGTTGTTTGGTTTAAAAGAGAATGTTGGGGGGTGAGGGGAGAGAATGTTGGGTACTCATGGGAAATACTCAGATGTTAATTCCTTTCTCTTTTTTTTTTTGTCTTTTTTCGTGTCCGGCAACGGATTGCAACCCTCAGTGTCGCGCCCGTACCGGTTTTACTTAATCTTCATATGTGTGTAAATAGACTCTTCTTTAAAACCAAATTGAATAGAAGTTACACCAACACATGTGAATGTGTTCCAGGAAGAAGGAACGGCAAGTGCATAAGCCTTGAAATAGGGATGAACCAAGCAGATTCAAGGATAAGAAGGCCAGATTTCTGGTCTTATTTCCATAGTCCATTGCCATGCCACACTATATAACAAGTGGTGGTAAAGATGCAGAACTTCTAGATATCTTATACATTGCTGGTGGAAATGCAAAATAGCATTGCCACTTTGGAAAACAAGTTAGCCATGCACTGACTCTATAACTCAGCAATATCACTCCTAGGTGTTTACCCAAGAGAAAAGAAAACTTATGTTTGTTCACACAAAAAGCTGCCCATTAATGTTAATAGTGGCTTGATTCATAATGGCCTCAAACTGGAAAAAAATTCAAATATCCTTCAACTGATGAAGGAATAAACAAAATGTGGTACATGTATGTAATAGAAGACTACACAGCAATAAAAAGGAACAAACCACTGACACATGTAGCAACATGCTTGAATCTCAAATGTATTACGCTAGTTGAAAAAAGCCAGACTCAAAATCTATCCAGTGAGCGGGAGCCGGTCTGTATGTGGGATCTGAACCCTCGGGCGGGGCGCGCCGCCGCGCTTCCCAAGCGGCGCACTACCCAGTGCGCCACCGGGCCGGCCCCCCTTTCTCTTTTCTTTATGTCAATTTTGATTGGGGTCTGTAAACTGACTAGTTTTCTACTATTTTATTAAATTATATGAAAATTAGGATGATGTATTTTCAGATATTACATTTTAAAGTTGGACACCCAAACAGAACCTAACACAAGGTCTATTGGACAGGGCAAAGTAATATATATATATATATACACACACATACACACACACGCATATACACACACATATATATATTTGGTCTTTTAAAAAAACAAAAAACCAGAACGTTCCTTTTCTAAGCTTGGATTCCGTGAAGTTTGGTTTAAAATTAGGTATTTAAAAATTTTTTTTGTACAGACCACTAAAATAGGTTGTGTTTGTCTTTTATTTCAAAAGCTGGTTATTAAAAGTGCTCTATGAGTGAAATGAGAGGATTAATCTCCACATTTGGGGCTCTTGAGGGATGTGCTTTCCCTCTGTCTGGATGTTCTGACTTGTGAGATAGCACAACCCTTAGTAATTGTTCTGGATCACTCCTTTCTGTCTTCCTCAAAAAGTAGCCAACACGCAAAATGCTGAGGTGACAAGGAGAACTTCCTGTTGGCACTGTTTATCTGATGTTTTGGCTGTGGCCCTACACAAGCTCGGTAGGAGAACCCAGGATGCTGGAGGCTACTTGCAAGCAGTGCAGAGAAGTTCTACTCGAGAACAGTCACTTGGCTTGACCCGCCACCTGTCCCCACTACAACTTGTCTAATAAGAATGGGGAATAAAGTTTTTATTTCCTATTGTGGGCAGGAGACCAAAGGTATCTATTAGGGGGCCGGCCCGGTGGCGCACTGCTACAGTGCGCCGCTTGGGAGCGCAGCGGTGCTCCTGCCGAGGGTTCGGATCCCACATACAGACCGGCCGCTCACTGGCTGAGCAAGGTGCGGGCAAACCACCGAGGGTTGCGATCCCGTTGCCGGTCCCGGTCCGGTACGGGCGCGACACTGAGGGTTGCGATCCGTTGCTGGTCACAAAAAAAGACAAAAAGGAAAAAAAAAAAAAGGTATCTATTAGGTTGGAGATGAGAAAATTTACTGTCTATGAAATCATGAAAAAACTGTTTTATGATGTTCACATTTGAGAAATGTTAATCTTTGTCAAGTTACTATTATGAGATTTGACGTGTTTTTTCTCCCTCTTTGTAGGTACTGGTTTTGGACTAGGAGTTGTTTTCTCACTTACCTTCTTTAAAAGTAAGTGTGACTCTTGTAACCTTTCAGCACAATGTCATAGTGTATACATATGCATAGCAGGGATACTTCCTGAAGACACATCTAGAAGCTGCCAACCCATCCATTTATGGGGTCAGGTAGGCCATTGTAAAATGAGTTAGACAAAGAACGTTGACTCGAAAGAGGTCAAAATGGGTTGGGCATCTCCAGCATTCCCCTTGGGCATTGAGTCAGGGTGCCTGATATCTTAAATATGATATCATTTCGAAAGCCTGTACTTTATGCCAGTGAGTCATTTGGCCAAATCTAAATCCTCAGATATTTGTAATTAATTATAATTTTTTCTAAAGGAACTTGAAAATGAGAGTCCTGCTGGTAATAAAAACAAGTGGACCAGAAATACACATGCTTCTTGGCCAAAAATTCTCCTAAGCAAAGGGTAGGCAATATCTCTTTCATTTTGTGGAAGAACTTCTGGAGGTTTAGATACTGAATTGAAGCCAAAGAGGTCACTTTGACCTCTTCCCATGAAGAACTGGCAAGAGATACATAACTAGAGAATCATAATTATCACAGTGCTGATGTGAAATGATCATTTACAGGTTGGGTTAAGTAAACCCCATAACTTGCTATAATCAGAAGTATGTAAATGTTGGTGAAATTCCTGCATATTTTAAAAAATTCATGCACTTTACTGAAACATATTATTACTTCTAATAAGGTAGAGAAATTAGTTAAACTGAGCAAGTGATTAGAACTGATACAGAAAAGGTAGAAGACTCAACTGTGTCTACTGTTTTCTTATTGTACCACTTATTTTCCTTGAACCTAGCAGCATAAGTACTTAATAAATATTTGCTAAATTAATAATTTTACTAATTAAACACACCCCGCCTCACTTTTCCTGGCCGCTGATGAAATATTGACAAAAATGTATGGTATGTTGTAATCATTAGTCTGGTACATGTTGAATATTCATTGAACCCTAAGCAAAAGTATTTAAGGGGTGAGGGGTTTTATCTTCTTCTGATGGCTCCCTATTGGGATTTTCCTTTTTCTGCTCACTAGGAAGAATGTGGCCATTAGCCTTTGGTTCTGGCATGGGACTGGGAATGGCCTGTTCCAACTGTCAGCATGATTTCCAGGCTCCATATCTTCTTCACGGAAAATATGTCAAAGTATGTACAGAATTGATATTTCTCTTTCTTTCAGAAGAAAAAGAGGTTTCTCCTGAGCGCCTGAAGAATTCTTTAGAGTGTATAAAATGAATAAATAAACTGTGTGTCATTGTGGCATCACTGAGATCCCAATTGCTCTTTGGCCTTTAGTGATGTTGACGTTGTTTTGGTGCTGGCAGTCTCCCTGCCTTCAGTTGCATATGTACATTCATGTTTATACTCATTATTAGCTAACTGGAATTGACAAACCTGCCTGAAAGTTTATCATCAGTGGTAGATTTGTGTTAACTATTGGAAGCAATTTCCATTTAAGATCTGAGAGTGCCCTATGAACATCTCACACATACTCAAGCTGAACCTGGACACTCCTGGGACTCAGCCATTAGTCCACTTTTTTATTGAAGAAGACAGTCTTGACTGTAAGTCCCACATGATCCTACCAAAGTCCTCCTCTTCAGGTGCATTTTTTTTTTCTTTTCTTTATTTGGGCATCCCTGGTGGATTTTTAATGATGCAAACAGGCTGGAAAATTATTACTCATGCCTCAAAAGGGAAGAGGGTAGCCTGCTTTCTAAAGTTTTTCTGTGTAGCAGCCTTTCCCTTTGTCTACTTTAAATGATTGGTTACCATGGGGTTTAAGTGACAAGATCATGGGAGGCTGGGTGCTCAAGGATAGAGGTGGTATTTATTTTTGTATCTCCAAGACCTGAAAGGAAGTAGGCACTCAAATAAATGTAAAATGAATGAATGAAGTAAATTATATATTCTATTAGGTTTAAGTGTTAATGGCCTAAGGTTTGCTAAGGCATAACCTTCGTAGCAACACAACCTTCAACAAAGAACTTCACATTCCCTGAATGCATAGAATCCTTGCTTTCCAGGTTACCCTTGAGCTAGAATCACTGTGGTCTGGGCAGCAAGCGGGGGCTAGTGGAAAGAGCATAGAAGCTAGAAGACCTGGGTGCAAGCCACGCGCTTCCTTTGTAATCAAGAGTTGTTTCATTTCTGAGCTTCTGATTTCCATGCATAAAATGAGGATGATAATTTCTACTATAGGGTTGTTGTGAAAATTAAATGTGAAAATGATTTTTTTTTTTTCGTGTCCGGCAACGGATCGCAACCCTCAGAGTCGCGCCCGTATCGGACCGGGACCGGCAACGGGATTGCAACCCTCGGTGTTGCTCCCACACCTCGCTCAGCCAGTGAGCGGCCGGTCTGTATGTGGGATCCGACCTCTCGGCGGGAGCGCCACCGCGCTCCCAAGTGGCACACTGTAGCAGTGTGCCACCGGGCCGGCCCTGAAAATGATTTTTTTTTTTTCGTGTCCGGCAACGGATCGCAACCCTCAGAGTCGCGCCCGTATCGGACCGGGACCGGCAACGGGATTGCAACCCTCGGTGTTGCTCCCACACCTCGCTCAGCCAGTGAGCGGGGACTGGTCTGTATGTGGGATCCGAACTCTCGGCGGGAGCGCCACCGCGCTCCCAAGTGGCACACTGTAGCAGTGTGCCACCGGGCCGGCCCTGAAAATGATTTTTTTAAGCTGAGAGGTGCTTTGAAAATAGAAACACTGGTTGTTATAGTTGAGGCCAACTGAGAAAGGGTGATTGTTGTCCATTGTTCCACCATAATAACAAGTAGAGTGGAAAATGTGGTACAAATCCATGTCCTAATTCTGGTCAAGAGCTGTAGCCACAAGGTCACCAAATCTCAAATAACGGTATCCCATCGCCACTCAGCGGCCTCCACGATAGAGCCTGCTTACACTCTGTCAGCTGCCTTCCAACCAACCCATGTGTGCTAGACAGAGAATGGGAGCAGGGAGAGCTTATGTTAATGAACCATTTCTGTACCAGAGCAAGGGTGAGGTCATCAGAGGGACAGTGCATGAAGAGGCACAGCTGCATGGCACCAAAGCTGACGACAGGCCGTTTCCACTGTTCCCGCCTCTTCACTTTCCTGGCACCAGCAAAGTTGAGTTTGTGGGAGAACAGAAAGAAGCAGGGAGAGGAGCTTGAGGTCTTTCAATAGTTTAAAATGTTTCCATTGTTCCAGACTGAGTTGTCATGGATGATGGCTCAGGGGTGGTTATATGCATATTATCTACTTAATGACTGGGAGTTACTGTGGAAAATATTGTTACATTTTTTTTACAGCCTTGTGTGTGCTGCTCCAAAGTGGCCTTGTAACTTTATATGAACTTGAGTCTGTGCCTCCATGTTGTCATCCTTCATTCTGTTTAGTCGTATTATGACAACTGCTTGTTGAGTGCCTGCTATGCTCTGTGGACTATCCTAGGTGCTTTATATTTTTTTCTCTCTAGACCTCCACATGGATTTGTGAGAGAAGTGCTAATATCCTCATTCAGCAGATGAGAAGACAGAATCTTACTGGGGTTAAGAAACTTGCCAGAGATCAGATAATTAGTAGGCTGTTTGATTCAGGTCATGCTCTTTCCACTCACCTGTGATCCTTTAGATAGGTTTTAGGAATACAGTTATCCAGATATACTGATTGTTTAGCCCTATTCTGCTCCTTTCCCATTCTTCTCCCTCTAAGATTGGGGGAGCCAGCCCTTTTGTGACACAGTTTTAAAGCAAACAGTGTGGTAAGGTTTGGGCCCCGTTGGTGCCTTGGGTATGACCTGAAGTGGCAATTAGAGAAGCTTGTCAAAATGCTGTCAGCAGAGTTCTAACCTGAGTGTCGTTGCTTTACAGGAGCAGGAGCAGTGACTTACACCTGAGAACATCCCAGTGGGAAGAAAAGAGAAATTATGTTTATTCCTCAGGAATACTGAAGTGCCCTGGAGTAAGCTGATACTCTTCTGTAACAATGTTATCAGTAATGCTTTAAACTCCAGCACACTGTTTATGTATTTGAAACCAAGTCTGTTTCTTGTTTTGTATTTTCTCTCTGGCAGTTGTAAGGAGGTGGTCTTAAAAGAAATAAATTAAACAAAAATAAGAGACCCAGTGCATGGCCTTTGTTTCTTTGCCTTGGTCTCTCCTGAGCATGAGGAGGGCTATGTTTGAACTGCCAGCAGCTGTCACTGCCTGGTCACGACCTCTCCGAGAGCCCCTCGTGAAACCCCAGCCGTGTGCATTTCTCCCCATTGTCCCTGGATGTGTAGTTTTCACAACTGCTCCCACCTCATTGGAGGAGGTTGGAGATTGCTGCCACGCAGTCTGATGAAGATGACCAATGTCTTGAGGAGCTTTTCCTTGCTGTAGCAGCTCTTTACAATCTGTGTGTCGTTCTCACCAGCGGACCTGGCAGGGCATGTCTCAGCTGTGCCTTCTGCACTGAGGTCAAACAGCTGCCGTGTTAACAGGGTATGAATGCTCACTCCATTGATGTGAAGTCCTGCAGCTTCATGGAGCTTGACACAGCCCAGTCTTCAGTACTGGATGGCCACGTTTGGGGTAGGTTTTATTTTCATATAGCAGCTGAGTTTGAGAACAAAAGGACCACTTCTAATGCCCCTCCGTGAGTTTGTTCCTATGGTTTCATTTGAACTAGGTAGTCTGGACACAAGAATAATATTTTAGCAATTTCTTCTGAAAATTTGCAGAACTCCAGAGCTCAGGCTTTCGTATCTTATTTCTCTCATTGTAAGATTAAGATGGGCAGGGCCGGCCCGGTGGCGCACTGGAGAGTGCGCCGCTTGGGAGCGCGGCGGCGCTCCCGCCGAGGGTTCGGATCCCATGTGAAGACCGGTTCCCGCTCACTGGCTGAGTGCAGTGCGGGCGCAGCGCCGAGGGTTGCGATCCCGTTGCCGGTCCCCAGTACGGGCGCGACACCAAGGGTTGCGATCCCGTTACCGGTCAGTAAAAAAGAGACAAAAAGGAAAAAAAAAAAAGAAAGATTAAGATGGGCAGAGCTTGATCCCTCTTGCCACTTTATCCTGTAAACGTTGATTGAGCATATACTATGAATTAGGTACTGTTGTGGGCAGCAGAGATAAATGGGTAGAAAGACAGACCCCTGCTTTCAGGGAGCTTAGAGTCTGATGGAAATAGACATACAAATGCTTGTGACTCTGAAAAAGAATTGTTCTAACAGGGAGGTGGGGCGTAGACAAGGTACAGTGAGAACAGAGGAAAAGGAGAAGCTAGTCTCCTTGGGAGGCCTCTCAGAGGACGGAATACATGGACTGAGACTTGAAGTTGACCGGGGCATTTCAGACAGACAAGGAAGAGAAGGGAAGTAGCTCTGTGAAGGCTCAGAAACATGGAAGTGCATATTGTAGCTGGGAAACTTGAAGTAATTCAATATAAGCAGAGTGTGCAGGGGCAAGGGAGAGGTGTGGAGGGATGAGCTGGGCTCCAAGGTAGAGCTTATGTCTGACCCCAGTTCTGGAACATTGATTAGACTTTAGTTCTTACAAGTGCTTTAAGGAGTAGGTTCAGGCTAGCAGATACCCCCCTCCCTCATCCTTCGCCTCACTCCCCTTTCCAGAAAGGTGTGCCAGGCTCTGGACCTGAACAGGCAGTAGTGGCATTCTGCCCTGAAAACTATTCAGGCTCCTCTGCTCTCTGGACTTGTTTGTGTCTTTGGGTCACCTAAAGCCCAAAGATGGACTGAGCCTAGGACTGTAAGTCATGGGTACAGCTTGCCATAGCCACTCAGCTGTCTTTCACTTGGCCCTCTTCATTCCATGATCAAGGCGACCCATGCAATTAAAAGGAAAACAGCCATGCAACCATTTTCATCCCTTCCACTTGTCTCCTCCGTGTTTGCTTTAAAAGTTAGTATTTTCCACCATTTTCCGATCTTCATTCAGGCAGAAAGAAAAATAACAGGTACCCTTCCAAAGAAGACGAAGAGAAAACACAGTGTGCCCACTAATTCTCTTGATACGTCAGAAAAATATGTAGTTGAGAGGAACATTGGAACCAAGCTTCTTTATCCCATTAGTTGTTAGGTTTAGGCATTTATTTGGGTGGATCCCTTTGCCCAGTACCTTTAAAGCACCGCTTAAGTGCTTTGAGAAATTGGTCAGCTCTGTGAGGGATTAGTTCTGGGCAAAGGCCAGCCAAAGGAAGCATTGACTATTTGCTTTAGTTCCAGAGTACTTTGTATTCCTGCCTTGAAACTCTTAACAGAGACTGGCCCAAAGCACAATGCCTGATCTCGTCCCCACTCCCCGCCCCCATCTCAGATCAACCTTCAGACAGTTCCAGCTTGTTGGCAAAGGCATACATTCTGTTCTCCTTTAAGTTTCATTAGAAATTCAAGTCCTCTGGGGCCCTGTTCCCTTGTGGGGTTGTGAAACTGACTTTGCTTCTTGTCTGCCCTTCTGGAACCAAATACAACGAAATTCATGGGTTTGAAGAGAGAGTGATGGGAACCCAGCTGGGCACAGGATACTAGGATAAAGCTGTGGCGCCCCAAAAGTGGCCTATTCTGCCAACATATATAAATACATACAGTCTGAACTTGACACTGTATAATTTGGCTCAGAACAATATGTATTTTGAACTCATTTAGGTGGATGCCTCTGGCATTCCAAGTACCCACTGCGGGAGCCTTTATCGGGCTGCATTTGCTTTATGCAGAAGTATGCCTTTGTTCTGAGAAATGGCCTCAACACACTGTTGAGCTGTCTCCTTTAGTGAGTGTCATCTTCTCATCCATTTCAGAAGATCCAAGGATGCAGTCTTGAAAATCTGCTTGTCGGAAATGCAGGGATTGGGAATGGAGATGACTATGTAGGTTTGCTTTTAGTTTTCCCAAACCTCAATGTTTACTTTTTTTTTTTTAATGTAACCAAGCCATAATTGCATTTTTCTTGTCGTGGTTCAGTCTGACTGTATTGTTGAAGGACTATTTTTGAACCTGTCCAAATAAACTCTGCAGAATATTTCCACAAGGATGTTACTCCATGGGTCTGGGACAGCCTTCATCCTGAATGGTACCAAGACACAAATGGTTTCCTGTTGCATGTTTTCTAATTACATTACATAAATGCAAAGAGGGTGGAAGGGAGAAAGTGGAAATTCTAAGTACCAAAAGGAGATGTTAAGTTTAGAATAAAAAGCTCATATGGAAGCTATCACCATTTTTTTCTTTGTGTGCTGTAAGCTCCACTTCCCCTTGGACATCATAGGATGGTGTTGGGGTAAACAAAACCTGGACAGGAGCAGGGGGGAAGTCCCATATTCAGTGCGTGACCTCTGCATGTAACAAGCGTGAGAGTCGGTGATAACTGTTGTAGCAGTAGAGGGTGGACAGGGAACGAGGGAGAGGCAGGGCTGTAAAAGCAGGAAGACCATAGGTTTGGGAGTTAGAGGACCTGGATCCAGGTCCTTATTCCACTTCTTACATGCCATGTGATCACGAGGAATATCATTAACTTCTTCAAACTTCAGTATTCTCATCTGTAAGGGGGAAGATAATTCCTGTCCTGTAGGCTTTGAAGGTCAAATATATGTGCTAACAAAAGTGTTTAGAGTACATGGTATTAATGGTATGTAGTCAGGGGTCTGTTCTAGGACAGAAAGAAGGCATAATCCTTGAGTTCAAGGAGTTGGCATTTAGGATTGAAATTAGCAAGATCTGAGGGAGAGAGTGAGTGTCTCAAATGAGTTCCTGGTAATAAAAATCCTAAAAAGTGTTGGAAAACACTGTGCATCTTCGTGTTAGTGTCACTTATTCTTGCTCTACTCCATTGAGATACGTATGAGTAAAGCCACTGTGGCTTCTCTCCTGAACTCCATCCTCACTTTTTTATTTTTTATTTTATTTTATTTTATTTTTTCCTTTTTGTCTTTTTCCGTGTCCGGCAACGGATCGCAACCCTCAGTGTCGCGCCTGTACCGGACCGGGACCGGCAACGTGATCGCAACCCTCGGTGTTGCACCCGCACCTCGCTCAGCCAGTGAGCGGCCGGTCTGTATGTGGGATCCGAACCCTCGGCGGGAGCGCCGCCGCACTCCCAAGTGGCACACTGTAGCAGTGTGCCACCGGGCCGGCCCCCATCCTCACTTTTTTAAAAGTCAGAGTTCTTTAGTGAGCACAGGGTCTCAGTGCTAGCTTAGGAGGGAATGGAGGGAAAAAGATGCTGAAGAAATAGAATGGGAACCTGAGAACTTCTCAAGGAGCTTCTGGCCTGGTAGGAAACATGACTGTTGCTGAGCACTTGCATTCAGGATAATTGGCCTCAATTGCTTGATCCTCACTTAAGGAGTTGAGAGCCAGAAGGTGTACAAGGGGGAAGGAGAGGTCAAGAATTCTTGGAGGAGGTGTGGGCAGGTGATGAATCTTTAATAGGGAAGAACGTAGGGCTAGAAAAAAGAGCTCATTATCAACTGTCAATCAAGTCATCTTTCTTTATTCCTGGTCTGGCCAGTTTGAGCCAGATGGATCTTATTTTGATCACCTCAAATGCATACATAATAATAGATAATATTTATTGGGTAAATGCTGTGTGCCAGTTACTGTTCTAAGGCTTTACATATATCATAACACTTAATTTTTACAACTGTCCTATGAGAGAAGCACTATTATCCTTATTTTATAGATGAAGAAACAGATTTTGGAAGGATGAATTTTACCCAAGGTAATAGGTGATGCATGTGGGATTTGAACCTGATTCCAGAGCCGCGATTCTTACCTATTCTCTATGCTGGCCAAAAGCTGTTTAAACTGGGATGGGTCATATCAAACTGGTTTGATCCAGTTTAAACCTGATTCGACATACTTGAATTAGTTGAAATTGATCAGAGCCAGTTTCATTAAATTTAAATTGATAAATTGATCTAATTTGAAATCAGCTGTATTTAAGAAAATTATTTCTGTTTATTAATCAGAAACATAATTGTCAATCAGAGCTTCAGGTCCGTGTTACTGATGAGTTTTGCTAAATCCTTGCAAATATAATAAAGCATCGTGACGTTTTATTGGCCTATGCATGTTAAAAACTATATGCTTTTTAATTAGATTTTTTTTTCCTTTTTGTCTTTTTTACTGA